AGGGGGGGGGGGGGAATCCAGGGATCGGGCGGCGTGGGTAGGTGCGGGCAGTGTGGAATGGCGGGGTCAGGTTGTGGGGAGGAGATACCTATGATGTTTCTCTCTCTGTGTGTGCGTGTGTGTGTGCGTGTGTTTAGGGTGGGATCGGGGCTCTTCGGCCCAGACCGAGCAACCAGTCTCCGGTACCCCCCCCCCTCCCCTCCGCCGCTCGGCCGCCGGCTGTCCGTTGCCGTCGAGCTGCCTGCTCCTCCAGCTAGCTCGACGTCGGCTCGAGGCCGGCACTCCACGCCACATCCACCCACCGATGGCCAACGGCGCGGACGAAAGCGCCTGGCTGGCCTTTACAGTCTCTGACGCACCGGGCGGCCCGCGCTCGCCGTTGACGGTCTACGCGCCGGCGGGGCGGGCAGGCGGCGGGAGCCCGCACTCGGCACCGCCTGGGTCGGCGCTGTCGGCGGCGGTGGCCGACCTGCCGTTCCTGGCGTACAACACGGCCGAGCCGCTGCCGCAGACGCCTGCGCCGAGGCCTGCACTAACGTCAGACTCGCCGCCGCCTCCAACGGCGCCTGAAGGGACGCCTGACGGCGGCGGACGGTCGCTGGCGCCGACTCACGCGTCGCGGTCGACGCTGCTCCTCGAGCCGGTGGCGCTTGATCCGGACGCGCCGGCGTACGTCTCACCGTACCCGACGCGGGCGTCGCCGATGCAGACTGGTGACATGCGCGCTATTCTGCTCTCGGGCGTTCCGCCGCCGCGTATCCTGGATCCGGTCGAGCCGCCCGTCTTTGCCGAGTCAATCGCCGCGTATGTGGCGCCGGCGCCGCGGGCGGGACTGGCCCGCTCCGGCGCGTTGGCTGATGCAGATGCGCCCATCTCGGTCGGCCACATTCCTGCCCGCCGCCCGCCGCTTGGCGCGTCGCTCGGCCCTGCCGCCGACGTCGAATCAGCCCCGTTTCTCCGACCGAACCGCTACCTCGACCCGGCTGCAGACGATGCCCGCCCACGGTCTGCCTCGATCTTCCCGGACCGAAACCCGATGCTGCCGACCTCGTCCAACACCTACACTCGCTCGCCATGGGCCGCCTCTTCCGCCGAGGTCTTTACCCCGCGACGCCAGGACTCTGCCGTTGGCCACCAGGTCCGCCGCGCCGCGGTCGCCTCGGTCGTCGGCTCGCCGACCCCGTTCCGCGATCCGGCTCGCCCACGCGAGTGGCGGTGGACCGAGCGCTCCGCGCTAGGCAACGGCGGTGCTGCCCACACCGTCCACACCTCACCTGGCTCTTCGACCGCACTCTCCTACGCCGGTGCCCGAACCGAACCGCAGCCGCAGCCGCCGGCCGCAGCAACGACCCGCCCGGTGCCACTCCGCGACCCGTTCTCTATCGACGGTGTGCTGCGACTGGTGCACGAGTGTGAGCAACACACTCGTGCCATTGGGCTGCGTGCCGGCGGGAGCACACGCTCTCCGCCGCCCGCGGCCGAGACCACCACCAGCTCGCCCGGCACGCCGCCGCGCCCGTCACCGCACCCGTCACCAAACCTGTCGCCGCGCGCAGCCGACCCCGCCACCCGCGCTCGCTACGAAGCCTTGCGCCAGCACTCGGTCGAAGCCTACGTAGCCATGGCTCATCAGCCACGGGGAGATGCGCAGGAAGAGCAGGTCGAGCGTGATGTCGAGCCAGCCGAGTCAGCCGAGTCGGTCAAGCCAGCCGAGTCAGCCGAGCCAGCTGAAGAGGATGTGCAGGCCGCCGTTGCAGCCATGGAGACCGAGCAGCTGATTGCTCTGCTTCAGGCTAGGGCCGAGCCCGCTCATGTTCTGGCCGCTGCTGGCGCCGAGCTGGCGCAGCGAGTGGCAGCCCCCCGTAAGATCGACGAGACGGAGGAGACGGAGAAGCGAGCCCCAGCCCCTGTCTCTGCGCCGCCATCGCCACTCTCGCCCTTGGAGTCATCGCTGCGCTTGCCATCCGAACCATCGCTGTTTGGAGACGAAGAGAACTGGACGCCACTCTCGCTCCGCGGTGCGTTTGACTACTATCCTCTCCACCGCGAGGAGCGCGAGTATGCTCACGCCGCAACCACGTTCCGCCTCGACACGCCGGAGCTCTCGATAATCAGCGCGGAACCTATGCAGATCGCCGACGCCGGCTCAATTGACTCTGAGATCAATCGCCTCGACTCGCTTCTTGACTCGTTCTACCACATTGCCAACGAGGCCGTCACGCCTGTGCCTCAGCGAGGCGGCGGCGGCAGCGCCGGGTGGGACGCGCTCACGCCGCGACCGGCCCAAGCACGAGGGAGAGGGGATGGCCGACGCAACTTGGTACAGCAGGGGCTAGAGCACCACGGAATGATGTAGGGCAGATTGGTAAAGGGCCCACTGATGATGATCCACAGCGAAGGGAGACCCGGACGTCCCGATTTTGCGCGGCCACGGACCGCAACACTCAAAAGTGCAAAAAAAAACGTCAGTTGATGACTTTTGGTGTGATTTTATATATTTTATTGTATTTGTGATGATTCAATATAAAATATCCAGCTTCAATTATATACTCATATTATTTACAGGATTCATGTACAATTATATAATTATTTGGCTCAGAGATTAAGGTTTTGCCACATCTTGGTGGAAATCACCTTTTTGCCCCTTTTCCCCAGCTGGCAACCTCTCTCACATCTGGAAGCACGCGTCGTAGTATCGACACATTCTGCACTAACTATCTAGCTGGCTCTCTCGCGCTATTTCTCTTGGGTCTGAGCTCACATGCCCATGCGCATACTCAACCACCCCCTTTATCGTATGATCGTTTCGATCCCAAGTTTTCACGCTTGTCGCCTCCCTCGCCTCAGCGATCTCTTTCTTCATCGCTTGCCATCGCGCGCGTCTCTCCTCATCACCTATTCCCCTTCCTTCCCGCCCCTCTATCCGTTTTACCGCCTCTGTTTAGCTCTGCTAAGCTTTTCCCCCTCTCCTCGCCCAACCCGCTCGCGACGGTACCATCGACCATCTCTCTCGCTGCACCCCCCCACACGCAGTGGACCCGCGCGTATGCCCGCAAGCAAGAAGAAGGTCAAGGGTGCGCCCAGCACGGGCAAGAGCGGTGGGTCCAAGGCCAAGGGCACTGGCAAGAAGAGCGGCAAGAAGGGCAAGGGTGGGCGCAAGGGCAAGTCGGTCCACAACGACGGGTTCCCCACGCTCAAGCTCGAGTCGGTCTACATTGAGGGCCGCAAGGTCTCGGCCGGGCTCAACAAGCTCCGCGGCGAGCACCCGCAGCTGCCGAACCACTACTACTGGTCGGTCACGCGCGCGCGGTCGACGCTCTTCTCCGGCTGGTTCTGCCGTGAGGACCTCGTGCTCAAGGTTCGCGACTACATCCTGCAGGTCCAGGCCGAGGGCCGCGAGGCCTCGTTCGACTTTGACACCGAGGACAAGGTTCGCATGGGCATCCTCGCCCGTGACGCTGTCGGCGAGCTCAACGAGGCCAACGCGCCAACCCGCCCGGATGCGTTTCTCCGCAACTCGGACGGCACGTACTCGCTCAACATTGTGCCGGTCGTCCCGGCGCCGCGTGCAAACCACAAGAAGAAGAAGGGCTCCGCGAGCTCGGGAACCTCGCCCACCTCGCGTGGGCGCGGGCGTGGCCTACGTGGGCGCGGGCGTGGCGCGGGCGGGCGCGGGCGCGGGCGTGGGCGCGGGCGCGGCTCGCACTCGTCGGCCTCGTCCGTCCCCTTTGTCCCGCCGGTCGGCGCTGGCGGTATTGGCATCGGCCTCGGCGTCGCGCCCATCGTCGACCTCGCGACCATGCCGGCGCTCACGCTAGCGACACGCGGTACGGCCGACGATCCAGCGGTGGACATGGACACTGCGCCCATCGCGCCCGGAGGCGCTGCAGACTCGGGCGGCCCGCCGAAGGCTGCCGAGCCCGACCCGTCGGAGCCTGCCATTTTGCGGAATCCCGAGGTTCGCGAGCTGCTTGACCTCATCAACGGGCGGGTCGAGACGCTCGGGCTTGATCCGAGCAACCCAAAGATCCAGGAGCTTGCCACGCTCGCGCTCGGCTCGTCTGCCGCCCTCTCCGATTCGGCGCGCCGCAAGCGTAAGCGGCAGCTTCGGCGCGGCTCGTCGCGGCCATCGAAGCGCTCGACATCGTCCAAGCGCTCCGAAGCGTCGTCGTCGGACGACGCTTCGTCTGATTACTCGTCGACCGAAGAGGATGCCCGCATCGCCGTCTCCGAGTTCCGCGACCGGCTTGCGGCGCTGCAGGACGTGGCCCGCCGCCAGCGGGCAGCTACGGTCGCTGCGGCAAGCAAGGCCGCCGGTGCGGCTGGGGGCTCGGGGCTTGGCGGAGGGTCTGCGGGTGCCGCACCGCGGCCGCCGTCACCGGCCACTGCGGCGCAGCAGGCCCAGTGGGCCGGTGAGCTGGGTGGCGGGCCGTCGTCGCACCTCCTTCACTTTGCAACGCCGTTCGAGGCGCCTGGCGTTGCGCCGCTCCCGCTCCCACTCCCGCTCTCTCTGGGCGATGGACGGAGCGCTTTGCCGCGCGGCTCTCGTGCGCTGCGTGCTTTTGCCGCTGCTCTGGACAAGCCGACGCTCGCGGCGGTGCTTGACGCACAAGAGGCATCGGTGGAGAAGACCAAGTTTAGCATTGCCGATACGCTCGTCTCGCCTGTCACGCTCGTCAACACGGTTGTTCTCGAGGACGAGTGCGACGAAGCGCGGACGAGGGCTGACGTCGACGACGACGGCGCAAGCGGCTCGGAGCGGCTCGGGTACTGCTATCACTGCGAAGAGTCGTCGACGAGCGCCGAGAACGAGGTCCGCAAGTGCGCGTACTGCATCCGCGAGTTCCACGTCAACTGCGCAGGGTACGTCGAGTCGGAGACCGGGGCGTTCATTTGCCCAGCCTTCCATCCCAGCCGGCTCGTTACTGTTCCGCACGCGACCGAGGCCGACGTCGTCCCGTTTGCCTCTCAGCCGTCGCTCAGCTTTGGCACCGCCGCATCGCCGTCGCGGGTCGAGGCGACGCCGATCCGCGACCCGGCGACGGCGTACAAGCTCAAGTCAGACGGCTTGCTTGTGCGAGCCGTGGCCGATCCAGGCCTGCCGCCGTTTCTGGTCGCCGGCGTTGTGGACGCCCACGTGGCGCGGTCAGTTGGCGACTTTTTCCTGCCGGCCTTTGTCGACGCCGTTGTCGCCGCCGTCCGGGTTGAGCAGTCGGCGTGCGCGTCGGCGCAGTTCTCGCTTGCGCCACCGCAGGTCCAGGCCCGGCTCCGCGCCGCGCTCCACACCGCCGCCAGCAACCTAGACAAGGCGTACGCGGCGCGATTTGCGCAGCGGGTGGCTGCGGCGCGGACGGCCGGCGTGGCGCCTCCGCCGGACGGCGGTTGCGGCCTTGCCGTTGCAGTTGTCTGTGACGGGTGGCTCATGTCGGTCTCCATTGGCTCGCCGCGTGTCGTCCACTTTGTGGTCAAGCCCGACGCCTTTGTCATTGCCTCGCAGTCGGCGGCGACCAACGTGGCCATTGACACAGCGACGTCGGCGACGACGACGCTCAAGCTTCCGCAGTGGCAGGTGGCGAGCGCGACCGCTGACGACTCGCCAGGCAACGCGCTCCGGTCGCTCCAGGCCTACGCCGCCGGCTGCTCTTTTGTGGCGCTGCCGAGCTACGAGATCCGTGAGCTCCCGCTCGACCGGACCGAGGTCAAGGCTGCGCTCGCTGCTGAGGCTCACCCGTGGCCATCGGCCAACGATTCGCTGCGGGCGATGATCCCATCACTGAGGCGGACGTTTGTGGCGCCACCGGCAGCACTTTTCAGAACAAGCTTGGCATCCCATACCGCATCATGTCTGTCGGTGCCTCGCTGGGTGACGTGCTGTTCAAGCCTGACGATGCGCCGCCGCTTGTCGACAACACGCCGCAAGTTCACTTTACCGAGCTCTCGTCGCTTCCGGCCGCCATCCTGGTCGCCACCGACGGCCTCTTCTACCAGACCGACGTGCTCGACTCGGAGCCGGCGACCGAGGTCAACGCATGGCTCGCTGAGCAGATCTCGCTCTCACTCGGCGCTGGCATCTCGCTCTCGCGGCTGGCTGCCCGACTGGCGTACCGCCCGTGGCTCGACCCATCCGAGGCCCGCGACGACTGCACTGCCATTCTCATTCGCGTCAGCCCGCCAAACATTATGGACGCGACCCCGGTCGCTCCGCTCGATGCCGGCGCCCGTAAGCATCCCGTCTTCCGCACCCGGACCGGGTCGCTTGTCCCGGGCGTGGAGGTTATCTAGGCAGCAAGCAAAAGCGCACACATAGACACACACACAGACTCACACGCAACTCCATGCGGAGTTGGTCATTCAATGCTGCCGGCGACTACCTCGGCAAACGACTTTTTGCCACCCCAACCGGTCGGCGTGCCAGCGGCTTGCGCCTGCGCCTTGGGTGCATCGGCGGAGGTCACGCCGACGTGCATCGAGTCAAACTCGGCGCGCATCTGGTCGACGCGGTCGAGGTCAGCTTGCGATGGTGAAGCCGAGATAAGGCCGTCATGGGCGTCGTCGCCCGAGGCGGACTCAGAGTGGGCATCCGAGTCGAGGTCGGGCATGAGGCCCGGCTCGCGGTGCTGGGCAGAGGCGGGTGACGACGGACCAGCGCGCAGGACGGCTGGCTGGCCAACCGGCGGCGGAGCAAGGACAAGGCCGGCTTGCGGTCCACCGTGGTAGTGATTCTGCTGTTGAGGAGTACAGGCAGCGGCGAGGGCGGCGGCAACGGCCATGCGATGCGAGTGGGCAGCGTAGTACGCGTTAGGGTCAATGATGGACGATAGGAGCGACGGGGCGTTGCCGAGCGAGCGGCCTGAGGAGGAGCAGCGGAGCAGCGTGTGGTACGCCTTTTTGAACTCGTGCTGGATGACGGGAAAGTTTGTGCAGTTGGCGGTGACGTTGGAGGAGGCGTGCGGGTCCTCGATGGCAATGTCGTGGGCGCGGAAGACGTCAAACCAGCCAAAGTCGGCCTTTTTGGGCAGGTCGAGCGAGAGGACTCCGGCCTTGGGGCGGATGGAGACCACATCGCGGACAGTGTTGAACTCGCAGCCGTATAGCTTGAAAAACTGGAGGAGGCGGGCGCCGAGCTCGCCGTCTTCGACTGACTCAAACTCCTCGTCGAGCGGGTAGTACTTGAGCATGTGGATGATGAGGAGGACGAGGGCGTGTGAGGAGAGGCCGCCCCAGAACGGCACGTTGAGCTGACGCTCAAAGAGAAAATACTTGAGGGTGACGGTGAGCGGACGGAGCTGCGGATAGGCGGCCATATATGAGCGGATGATGGCGGCGTTCTCGGGGCCGCCGCGGACGTCAAAGCAGAGGTCGATGCGGCAGTAGGTGTGCATCTCGGCAATCTTGATGACAGGGATCTTGGCGGTGGGAATGACTTGGCAGTAGGAGCAAAAGCCTGCAGCGTAGAGCCGCTTGGCGAGCATGTTGAGCTTGTCGGGGTGCCGAACGCCATAGACGACAATGTCAATGTCCGAGTCCGGGAGGAAGAGGTCTGTGGAGAATGAGCCAAAGACCACGGTGGTGGCCTTGGGCCAGAGCTCGTTGACATACTTGCGAATCTTGGCAACGTGCGCTTCGCGCATGGCGCGCTCGGGCGGCGACGGCGAGACGTGGCGCACAAAGTCCTTCATCTCCTCGTCGAGCGACTGCATGGCCGACGCCGTGGACGAGTACGGGTAGTACGCGCGCCGACGGTACGGCAGGATGCGACGCGACGTCGCCTCCATCCACACCGGCGGCTCGGCCATGTCCGGCGGCGGCTGGACCCGGGCCTTTAGCTCTGCGAGCGAGTGAAACGGACGGGCGGCAGCAAACGGTGGCGGCGGCGGTGAGGCGGTGTCTCTTCCCCGCGGGCTGCACTGAGCGCCAGCACCACCGCCGCCCAGCTCGCCGAGGCTTGTGTTGAGCCGCCGGGCCGCCCGGGATACGCTCCCGGTCGACGCCGTCCCGGTTCCGGTCTCGGTTGTTGTCCCGGTCCCCGACGAGCTGCAGGCCGACGAGCTCGACGACGACGAGCCGGACGAGCTCGACGAGCCGGACGAGCCCGACGACGAGCCTGACGAGCTGCTTTCCGACGAGCTCCCTGTGGCGGTCGACGAGCCCGAGGATCCCGAGACTGAGCCGGTGTCAGACTGCCGCGACCTGGGCGCCTTGCCCATCTGCAGGCCACGGCTGCGCTTGTCACCATGGGCCAGCTCCTGCGGCGGCGGCGGGAGCTCTTCGCCCGGCGGGCTCTCAGCCAGGGGCGAGGCGGGTCTGCGGCCTGCGGCCTCACCAGGGTCTGCGCCTGCGGCGGAAGTTGCGGCGGTAGTTGCTGCTACTTCGGTGGCTGCTGCTGCGGCTGGTTCTGTGGCTGCTGCCGGTGGGCTCTCGCCCGGCTGTTCGTCGGTTGCCGGCGGGCGCTTGTCGGCCTCTGCCGCCTTGGCGCGGGCAGGCTGAGCAGCGAGGGCCATGGCGCACGGGAGGATGTGCGAGGAAAGAGGGGAGGGAGGGTGCGGGGGTGGGGGTGAGGGTGGGGGTGGTGGTCTGTGTGCTCGGCCCTGTCGGCTGTGTAGTCTGCAAGGGGGGTGCCCTGGGAGTCCCCGCCCCTGTGGACGCTCTGATGGGCTCGGCCGAGGAGCGGGCGCAAGGGAGGGGGGAGGGGGGGGGAGGGGTGAGGGCGGAGAGAGTGTTTGGAGATGGAGTGTGGTGGGTATGTGTGTGTGTGTGGTGGTGGGTGGGGGGAGGGAGGGAGGGAGAGAGTGTGTGTGAGAGAGAGAGCCGGTGGTTTGCTTGCGTTGTTTCGGTTTGGCGTGCGCTGTGGCGGAGGATCGGGTGCGGGGGAGAGACGGGCGTGTGCGGGCGTGTGCGGGGGGGGGGGTTGTGTATTGTACTGCGATGTGATGTGGTTGCAGGGAGGGAGACAAGAGGGAGAGGGGAGTTTAAGCCTGAGAGGTGGCAGCGACAACTGCATCGACGACAGAGGCGATGGCGAGGGCAGCAGGCGAGGAGGCAAAGGGCACAGACTCAGTGTCTTGGGCCCCTGCGGATGCATCTTCGCCAGCGGCCAGCTCGACAGCCGGCTCGGTGGTCGACTCAGCAGCGCCCAGGACCGCACCGGCTTCGGCGGAGAGGCCAAGGCGCGGATCGATGGGGATGGAGCCGAGGAAGGGGATCTTGCGCATGCCGGCAAGCGCTTTGCCACCGTCCTTGCCGTAAACGTAGGTAACCTCGTTGCAGCACGGGCAGACAAAGCCCGACATGTTCTCCACAAGACCCAGGACAGGGATCTTGGTAGTCTCACAAAAGGTGATCTCGCGGCGGACGTCTGCCAGGGCCACCATCTGTCGACATCGATTCGATCGCGTGATAGGAGGGGGGGGGGGGGAGAAGAGGTGAGTGGGTGCACGGGTTGGCGTGGGAGGGCTCGGTGGAGCACAGCAGCGCATCTCAGTTCTTGGAAATGATTTCATGGATGAAGAGGTCTTAAGTCTTCTCAATAACACGGACCAAGTAGTGATCATCGTCGAGGCGTCCGGATGGGGGGGGGGGGGGAGGAGGGGGAAGCAAGGAAGTTCGTACCTGGGGAGTGGTGACCACCACAGCGCCATCGATGGCGAGGTTGGACAGAGCCTTGACGGCGGCAAGGTGCTCGTCCGAGGTGCCGGGCGGGGTGTCGATGATGAGGTAGTCCAGCTCGCCCCAAACAACGTCGCGGAGGAACTGGGTAACCATGGCCGACTTGCGCGGGCCACGCCAGACGACCGGGTCGTCGCGCGAGGCAAGCAGAAAGGCAATCGACATGACGCACAGCTGGGTGTGGCCCGGCGGGAAGACCGGAACCCAGCCAGCGGTGGCCTGGTGGGCCGACGCGTCATCAAGACCAAACATCTGCGCCATTGACGGCCCGCACAAGTCGAGGTCGAGGAGGCCGACCTTGAAGCCGCGGGCGACCAAGCCGACGGCCAGCTGGGCCGCCACCGTCGACTTGCCCACGCCGCCCTTGCCCGACACCACCATCACCGTATGCCGCACGCCCGCCATGCTCTCGGCCACCGTCCGCTGTGCAGCAGCCATACCAAAACAAAAAGAAGGGGGGGGGGAGTGTTTGGGTCAAGTGTGTGTGTGTGTGAGGGTAGGGGAGGGGGGCAGGGGAGGGGGGAAGGGGGATGGGAGGAACGGATGGACAAAGGTCGCGTTCGCAAAATAATATATTTGTCCGTCAAAGTCAAACACAATCTCTCCCTCCCTCCCTCCCTCCACGACAGCGGTGGCTGCGGAGGGGAAGGGGAAGGGGAAGGGGGAAGGGGGAGGGAGGACGGGAATGGGATAGGGGGGAGGGGGGGAGGGGAGGGGGGGGAGGGGGGGGGGGGGGAATGCATCTCCTGGGGGAGGGTGACTCTGACTGGGGAGAGTAGTGCGTGTGGTTGTTTGTGGCTGTGGCTGTGGCTGTGGCTGTGGGTCCACTTGCGCGCGCAATTGACCACAAACTGCGATGGGGAAGGTGTGCCGTGTGCGCAGGGCAGGGTATCCCCTTTTGGCCTGTGAGTACCCCACATGTGCGATATGTCGCGGAACTGAGGTTATCGTGAGGCTTCTTGGTTCTGCAATCCTCTCGACTCCATCATGGCTGGCGACGTGCTGCGCAACTTGCGCGTTTGTAGCCCAAGCAAGTTAAGCGTGTACTGGTCGCTGGTTTACGAAGATCAAGGTGGTGAGGATGGCAAGTTTCGATGCATGCTGTGTGGGGTGCAGGTCACTGCCTCGCATGGGCAAGCCCTCCAACATTGCCAACCACATGAAGCACCACCTTGATCCAGCACGTTCGCCGCGATGTGTGAGGCCGTTTTACGAGCAAAGTCGTGGTTGCGTTCCATGACTAGCTTGCGCATAACGAGAACGAGCCTGGCCCAGAGGTGGTGGAGATCGTGTTTGCCCTAGATGATGCTCCTCCGGGCCCGTGCGCATCTGCGAACAACATCAGTGCCGGTCCGTCAGCTACGACCGGATGCTATACTGATCTGTTGCAGTATCGTGATGCTTCAACGTTTGTTTGCGCAAGCTCAAGCGCCGGCTTGCGAGCGAGTCGGGCAGTGTTGTCGGATCGAAGAAGCAGCGCACGGCCCTCGCCCAGCAGGCGAGCAACCGCCCTTCCGCCACTCTGCTGATCGAGGAGTACACCAAGTCACTTTCTGAGGCCATCTTCGACAACAAATCCATCGGCGAAACGCTGTCGCCTGACGCGCGCTTTCAGCTGATCCTTGCCTTTGCGCGTACCAAGTGTCGATTCGGTGACGATCCGCACATCCTCGGTCTTATGTAGGCAGCAACGGCGTTTCTCCGATTGCTGCAGCTGCGAGCGTGGAACGGCTCAACTCGGTGGCCACAGACATGCTCACCCGTAAGCGCTACCGTCTTGGCTTGGAAAGGTTTGAGAAGATGGTGCTTATCCGCAGCTGGATCGCCGCCCTCTCGGAGCTCGGCATCGAGATGTAACGGAATATTCATTCCGTAGGCCGAGGTAGTCGTCATTCCCGGCTGATATTCCGCGCAACTGCGCCCACCTCAGGTGTGCCGTGTCGGGTGCGACGGCGCGAGTGAAGAGAATGTGTGCGATTGGCGCAGGGCAAAGTATTGGTGGAGACCAGTGACGCGATTTGGAGGGAAAGTGTCCAGCAGGCGAGCCGTGTCATGTCGTCTGCTGGCTCGGAGGGGGGAGGGGGGAGGGGGGAGGGGGGGAGGGGGGAGGGGGGGGGGACTTGGCCCACACTCACTCAGCCCGACCACGACCCTAACCCACTCCTCTCACCCGCCAGCCGGTCTTGGCGAACACCTTCCCTCCACACCTCCGTCCACACCCACCCGTGTACACACCACACCATGTGGAACATGATAGGGTGGTGCACCCGTGACCCACGGACGTACACCACCGACAACGCCCCTGCCCGCCGCTCCCGCTCGGCCTCGTCCCCGTCGGCCAGTTGCGAGCAGTACGACGGCGTGGCGCCTGTGCCTGGACCTGGGCCCGGGTCTGCTGCCGAGGTGAGCCCGTTGGTTGTCGCCACGGCCTCGACGTCCAACTCTTCGTTTGCTCCGCTGGTGAAGAGCGCGGCGGTCGAGGCCGAGCTGCTGGTCTCGCCGCTGGCGGCCGCGGCGGCTGGCGAGGGCGGCGACGGGCGGGCGGCGTTTGCTGACGTCCGCCCCGATGAGATGAACGTCCGCCGCGGGATGCCCGGGCGGGTGGCGTCGGCTGGCTTGCTGGGAGCGCTTCCGGCTGAGCTGGCCGGCACAGCGTCGGCCACGCCCGAGTCATCCGGTGGCGGGTGGTCTGCCGAGGCGCGGCTGCTGCGGCAGCCCGGGGCGCGGGCGGCGGCGGCGACCAACGATGCGGTCGACAAGCTGCTGGCGGTGCTGGAGGCCGAGTCGATGGCGCGGGCGCGGATAGGAGTTGGTGGCGAGGCTGGGCGCGGAAGTAGAAGCGGTAACTTGCGGCGTTCCGAGGCCGAGGGTGACGACGAGGCCGGCGGCTCGGGCGGCGAGTCGCGGTCCGACGCGTGGGCCGCAGTGTCGTCTGTTGAATGGGCGGCGAGGCCCGGTGGCGGGCACAGCTCGCGACGGAGCAGAATCTTGGGCCACGCGCGCGGTGAGTACGCCTTTGTCAACGAGGGCTGCATCGACGAGGACCGCTTCCACATCGACCTGACCTCGATCGCCTGGTCTGACTACGACTCGCTCTACCGGGTGTTCTGGAACAGGTGTCTCGGCGAGGGCTCGTACGGGCAAGTCTACCTCGCGCAGCACCGGCCGTCCAAGTCGCTGTGTGTGGTCAAGACCATCCGGCGCGAGAAGGAGGACACGCTCAAGCTCAAGAAGGAGATCAAGATGCTGCTACTCCTCGCCGGCCACCCGGCCATTGTCCAGCTGTTGGACATGGTTGAGCATCCGCGGCGCAAGCTCAAGATGCTGGTGTTTGAGTATGTGGCGTACGCCGACCCGCGCGAGCTCATGCTTCATATGAACCTCGACCAGCTGCGGTACTTTATGTACCACGCCCTCCTCGGCATCAACTACGCCCACTCCCAGGGCATCATTCACCGCGACGTCAAAGAGGCCAACGTGCTGTTTGATCCGGTCGAGTGGAAGGTCCGCCTCATCGACTGGGGCTTTGGCACCTTTTACTTTCCGCACGTCAAGCACTCGCGCTGGCCGGGCACCCGCTACTACAAGTCGCCAGACCTCTTCCTCCACTACCGGTACTATGACTACTCGGTCGACATGTGGGCCTTTGCCTGCATGATGGGCGCTGCCGTCTTCCGGCGCCTGCCCATGTTTCGCTGCAAGACAGATCACAACTCGGCGCAGCTCATTGCTATCGGCATGCTCCTCGGCTCGGACGACTACGCCGCATACCTCGACGCCTACGACTTTCCGCTCGGCGGCAAGTTTGACGCCCAATTCATGGCCGCCTCGGTCCCACGTAAGCGCGTCAAGTGGCGCCGCCTCGTCAACGAGTCCAACATCGACGTCGCCCACCCGGATGCCCTCGACCTGCTCGACAGGCTTCTGGTGTGGGACCACGAGGTCCGGCTCACCGCGTACGAGGCCCTCGCCCATCGGTTCTTCGACCCGGTTCGCCGGCCCGACCTCGAGAGCAGCGCCCAGCTCCCGCGCCACCCGCCGTTCCGCACCGCGCTCGTTGGCGGCCGCGCCGCTGAAGCTGCAAGCCTCGGCTACGCGTAGCCGCCTCCGCCGCCACCGCCACTGTGGCGGAGGACACGGGCACGCGGCTTGGGCGCGCTCGCGCTTGCCCGCATCCCACTGGCAGCAGGGCGGCCGCGCTCCCGCTCAGGACGGCGCTTGCGGCGGGCGCTGGACTGCGCCGAGTGCGGGTGCGGGTGTGGCGCTGGCGGGCCGCGGAGCGCGCGCGGGCCGAGGGCGCGACGGGCCGACACCGGGGCGGCTTGCGGGCCGCGGGAAGCCACGCCGCGGCGGACAACACGCGGCGAGGCCGGAGTCTCGAAGCGGACCGATGACGTCGGCCGCGGGCCGAGGCCGGACATGTCGCCGGCTGGTGAGAGAGTGTCGGCAAAGATGGCGGTGCTCGAGGCGCGCGGCGGCGAAGCCGGCGCGTCGACCGAGCCCCGCTCGCCGTCGTATGACGGCACGTCGGCCATAAACGAGCCATACTCCTCGGGCTTGCCGCCAAACAGCTCGATGGCCTCGATGTTGAGCGCCGAGACGCCGCGCATAAACGCGGACTTCATGTGGTCCTCAAAGTGCTTCTTGTTAAACTGCGCTGCCGCCAGCGCCTCCTCCAGCTCGGCAATCCGCGCCTCTGCCGTCTCCAGCCGCTCCGAGTACTCGTCGACCACGATCCGCGTCGCCTCCTCCACTCGCATGGCGCACACGCGCTCGACTGACGCCACCTTTTTCTTCGCCGCGTGCCGATGCCATGCCAGAAGCACTCGCCGCATTACGGAGTGGGCATACTTGTGCCGCACCATATGCATCGACTTGGCCACACCCACCCGCCGCTCTTCACCCAGCCGCCGCGCAGCCTCGCGGTCGGCCTCGATCGCCTGCTCGTCGAGCTTGATAATGTGCGCGTCGAGGACCCGGACGTTGGCTTCCGACTCGTCCAGCGCGCTCTCGAGCACACCGACGCGCTCGTTGAGCATGGCAATGCGCTCACACAGCTCGGCCTCGGCCGCCGCATGCCGTGCCTCGGTCTCGGCCAGAATGCTGTCGAACCGCGCCTGCAGCACGCTCCGCGCGTAGCCAAACTTTTCCATGAACACCGCCTTCATGTCAGCAGCCCAAGCATCAAAGTGCTCTGCCACGTCTTCGGCATCGTCATCGAGCCCCGCGAGCGCCTCGACCACCGCTTCCGAGTCGGTGACCTGAGCGGCCCCCACTCGCCGCGACGGCGACGGCGCCGGAGCCGTCCGGGCGTCGGGCGACGCCAGCCGCTCCAGAAACTGGCCGTGCGGCGCCGTGTCGTCTGGCTCGCCGGCGGACTGCGACTGTGATTCGGCCTTGCGCGCGCCTGCCGATGGCAGCACAATCGGCTTGCGGGCGCGGGCAAGGAGCTTGGCGTAGGCATCGCCCTGCTCGTCGACAGTGTTGAGAACGTGCTCAAACACCATCGAGCCCGACTCGACCACCGCTACCGTGTCCGAAAGCATGCGGTCGAGCGAGCCACCAGCAATGTCTGCGCCGATCGCCTCCTTGCGGGCCGCCACCGCCGCTGCCGCGTCCTCCATCGCAGCCCGCTCATCCTCGGAGAGATTGAGAAAGTCGAGCGGTCGCTCGCCATCGTTGGTCGCGGCATCCAGCGGCGCGCCAGCATCCACCAGCACCCGCACCACATCCATCGCTCCGGCGATGGCCGCAAAGTGCAGCGGTGTCCATCCCTTGCCGTTGCAAGCCTTGACGTCGGCGCCTGCACCCAAGTCGCCGCCCGCCCCAGTTTTGGGTCGTAAGTGGCTTGCGCTTCCCCTGACCCTCTCCGGCGCCCCCCCTCCCCCCCCTCCCCCCCCCCCCCCCCCCCCCCCCCCAACCTCCTCCCACACAGCAGACCCGGCACGGGCCACCTTCCCCACAACATCTTCCCACATCCTGGCGGAGCGCACTGCAGTCAGCCGCCCCGCCACGCTAGCGGCCGGACAAGCGCAGCGGGTGCAGGCGCCAAAAGGGCTCTTTGGTGGCTGGCGGGAGGAGGAGGGCCGGCGGCAGCAGCGGGCAGAGGTGCGCAGGGAGGCAGGTTAGACGTACCAAAGGAGAGGAGGATGCGGACGTTTGCCAGGCGGTGTGCGTATGCGGCTAGGTGTAGCGGGCTGTTGCCCTCTGCGTCTGTGGCTGCCACAGAGGCCCCGCTGACCAGTGCCTCGGTCAGTGGCACTGCGTCACCCTGCGACGCCGCCTCGAAGATGCTCGGCCCGGACGACAACGACATGGAGAGGAGTGATGGAGGTGGGGGCGGAGGTGGAGGTGATGTTGCCCGTCATCATTGTTGCCGCCAACATGAGTATCTGACGCGAGATCAGCACACGTGAGGGATTAGGTCGCGAGCTGGGCGCTCTATGGGTGTGGTGTGGTGGTGGTGGTTGGTTCGGCTGCGGGTGTTGGCTACAGATGGGCGTGCTAGATGGTTAGATGGTGGCCATGCCCAGGCCTTGCCGTTTCTGTTCTGCTTTCACTTTACTGCAGGAAATACACTCGCGGGAGGGTACATTCCGTCCATGGCCGCGGTCGGCTGCAGGTGAGCTAGAGGCACGGACCGCATCGCGAGTTTGAGCCGTTTTGGCAGCACGCCGGCTGCGGGCAGGACCACGAGTTGGACGAGATGTCGAACTTGTTCGAGCCCATGGAGCAAATCCAATCCGGGATGGTGCCGTCGAGCTCGTTGCGGTAGGCATCAAAGGTGCCCTGCGAGATCAGGCTCGTCGAGATGTTGTGAGCAGGGAGGGAGCCGGAGAGAAAGTTGGTGTCGAGCGCCAGCCGCTCGAGGCTCGGCAGTGAGAGCAGACTCGCCGGAATGGTCCCAGTCAGCGCGTTTGACGAGAGCTCGAGGACGTTGAGCTTGAGCAGGTTGGCAAACGAGGCCGGAATGGGCCCATCGAGGGCGTTGAAAGCCATGCCGAGGCCCTCCAGATGCGAGAGCCCGCCCATGGCCGCCGGCAGCGAGCCCGAGAGCGAGTAACCGCCGAGATAGATGTTGACCACATGCCCCGAGTAGCACAGCAGGCCGCGCCATGCCCCATCTGTGGCACACGCATCCTCAGGCGAGCCCGTCCAACCGAGCGCCTTGCCCCACTGCGCCTGCATGGCGCCAAGGGCCGTCACCTCGGACGCATCCAGCGCAGACGTCCCCACGCACCCGCACACCAGCACCACAGCAGCAAGCCCAAACAGGTACGTCTTCCACATACTTTACCACACAAAGACAAGTCTTCCACACGCCCACCATCACCACCGCCGCTCGCGTCCCCCTGTCTTGCCACCCCCCCCCCCCCCCCCCTCCCCTCCTCTGCCGCCCCTCTGTGCTGAGTGCTCTTTTTTTTCTTCGAAGGAACAGAAGAATGAATGTCCCCCAAGCCAAGCCATGTCATGTCATGCCTCTGCGGCACGCCTTGCACGGACCGAGGTCTGGAGACGGTACAGCATGGGGCGTGTTGTTGCGACTGCTGCATGTATGTATGTATGTGTGTTTGTGGTGTGGTTTCTAGCCGGTTGACTGTGGCTGAGGCACTCGCTAGGCGGCTCGTGCACGCTGTACGGTGTTGGCCATGGTGGTATTGCACGCACCCATGCACGTGCCCGTGCAGAAGACGGAGAATATGACTACTCTACAAGACCATCCTGCTCCATGCCACGACCGCCATGGCCCGTCATGGATGAACCCACCACCTCCCATCACCGCCACCGCTCTCCTCCAGCCCCGCGACTCGCTGCTCTGTATCCGTTTCCCCCATCCCCATCCCGATCACGATCACGAGCCCATCCTCATCCCCCATCCCATCACATCTCCACACCCACCACCCTCCCCCCCTCCCCCTCCCCCCTCCTCGCCTCCTCCTTCACGCCCCTTTACTCCACACTACCTCTGTATCGCCCCTCCCTCCCGCCCTTTGACCAAACCCGATTAAACGCCGTGTCGCAGTACGTCGTCTCACTTTGCTTCTCGCAAACGTTCGGTGACAATGGGAGCGAATGGGCGAAAAGGCGGCTGACCCGGACGGACGGACCAGGTTCGGCTTTTCCGGGGAGGGGTGCCCCCTCCCCCACCGCCCCACCCACCACCCCACCCTACCCCAGCTACCCACCTTTTGCACACTATGCAGTCTGCTTTGACGCCGACAGCGTCCGACTTGGCAGAGCTCATGGCATTGGTGGGCGGACCGACGGACAGCGCCATGCTCGACTTCTTTGCCGAGAGCATGATGAGTCCTCTGGCAGGACCGACACCGACACCGACTCGTCCTGCACCACAGCTGGAGACAACAACGGCGGGGACTGCGGGGATGACGACAACGGCGATGACGGCGGCGAGTAATGGCGGCGAGCCTGTGCCATCTCCGCCGTATGCCTTTCATGGCGCATCGTATCGGGCACCGGCGGCCATTGCCCACTTTGACGACACCGTCCCGGTTACCACTCTCCCGCCCATGTTCTCCGACAATCCCTCGGCTGCCGTCCCTGTCCGCGATCCCACGGTTGCGCTCAACTATCAGCACTCGTCCAGCGGCTCTGCGCCATCGCTCGTCTCGGCTGCGCTCCGCGCTCCGCAGACCCATCATCTGGCACATCCTCTGGCCACTCCGCCGCTGCCCGGCCACCCCGTCGGTAGCAATGACCTCACCCTCCAGCTCGACCTGCCGAGCCCACACGCGTCGGGGGGGCTCTTTGCCTCTGAGCCGTCAACGCACCCGCACCGGGGAGAGGTGAAGCCTGCGACGAGCGGGCGGAAGCGCGCACGCGACGCGAGCAATGGACCGGCCGGCGGCAAGTCGGCCTCTGACGCGCCCGCCGTTCCGGTTGCGAAGAAGCAGCGCCGCGCTGCCAAAAACCGCATCGCGTCCAAGAACTACCGCCAGCGTCGTCGTGAGTATGTGCAGCGGATCGAGCAGCAGCTGGAGGAGTTGCGCGCCGAGAATGAGCGACTCAAGGCGGCGGCGGGCTCGGGCAGCGCGGCTGTCGACGTTGTGCTGCTGCAGGAGGAGAACGAGGCGCTCAAGAGCCAGATTGAGGCACTGCAGGCCCACGCCAACGACGTCTCGGACAGCGGGACACCCGGTGACGAGCCGTCGCCGTCGACACTCTCGGTTGAGGACCAGCAAGTCCGACTGGTGGAGCTACTCCACCGCAACATTGTCAACGGCGACGATGAGGCTGTTGTTGCCGCCAACCTCAAGAAGCTCCGGGCGCTCCGGGCACCGCGCAAGATCTCACAGGCCGATGTCCTCCGCCAGATCGAGGCCGAGGCCCTTGCTGGCTCGCCGGCAAAGGACGAGTACTCAGCCATCACCCAGGCGATAGGCGAGCTGTCCAAGGGCGGAAGCGAGGCAGCGGGAGCATCACCGCCGTCGCTGTCGCCCAACCCTTCGCCGTCACCCGAGCCCACCTCGCCCGTCGCTCAGGCGCGCAAGTTCTCGACCGCCAACTACCTCGCACTCTCGCCGGCGCAGCAGGCCGTCATTGACCAGCTTCGCTCCGAGCACGAGGAGACCATGACGGCCATCATCCGCCAGCGGCATGACACCACCGCCAAGGTCAAGGCGTTGCTCCACTCCAACTTTGGCCTCTACACCTCGCTCAAAGCACAGGGCATCGACTTTAACGACGCTGTCAAGGACATTCCCGACATTGCCGACATTGCAAACGCACTCAACGAGCTCAAGGCCAGCATTCAGGCCGAAGCCGATGCCACCGAGTCGCTCATGTCGCGATTCCTCAGCCAGCTCACTCCGCGCCAAGAGGCCGTCTGGGAGCTGCGCGTCTGCCAGTTCTCCCACTGCCGCTCGCGGGTCATTCAGGCCTTCTGGTCCGTCGCCGAGCGGGCATCGCTCGACATCGAGGTGTACAAGTGCGAGTGATGACAGCCACACCTCGCAGCCGGGCGCCTGCGCCCTAACTTGTAAACCATGCTGCGAGACGCCGACGGGCCCCGGCATCACGGCGCCGGCGGGCGCCACGTCGCCAGCACCTCGCACGACATGTAGATGGCCTCGACCATGAGCCGCGACATCTCTGACGCCTCGCCGTCCTCCGAGTGGATCGAGTCGAGCGTAGTCTGGAACTCGGCAATCTTGTACGGCTCCTCGGCGCCGCTGCCATAGTCCGAGTTGCTAAAGTAGGCCTCAAGGATGCGCAGCATGTACATGCGCTTCGGTGACTCGGGGTCGAGGTTGTTGAGCTCGCGGACAATGACGTTGAGCACAACATGGACGTCATTGGGGTAGAGCAGGCTGAGCGAGGCCGGCGAGGCAAAGATGTCCAGCAGCATCTTGAGCACAGGCTCGCCGGCTACCATGCTGTGGTACCCAGTCGGCCCGCCGTTGAACAGCCGCGGCACGTACTCGACCACAGCCTTGACGTCGCTCGCCCGTAGCAGTGCCTGAACCACCAGCGAGAGCTTGCCCGGGCCCTCATCGCCCGCCGCCGCCACGTTGACGAGCAGGACCAGCCGCAGCAGCGCGTCTAGCAAGGTCTCGTCCGGATCGGTCTCGTGCGCCACCACTGCTAGCAGCAGCGCATCGAGCACCTGAGGTGAAAACGCCGTGGCGACCACCTCGACAGGAAGCTGGGTCTCCTGGTGGAGGAGGAGACCGACCAGCGATGCTTCGGCGAACGCCATCGACGCCGGCGCCGCAGGCGCCGTCAGTGACACCATCGCCCGCGCCACCAGCCCCTTGCATGCCACCAGCCTTTCCGCCGTCTCTGGAAAAGTCTCCACCAGCCGGGCCAGGATCTTGGCCTCGGCCGTCCGGAACGGCACGGCGGTCTCGGCCACGTACTGCGTCGCGAGCTTGCCCACGTTGGCGTACCCATCCGCCGTCACAAACTCGAGCATCTTGACCGGCACCACATGATCAGCGTCACCCGCTGGTCCGAGCATCCGGTACATCTTGGAGAGGTGCGCCTGCGAAAACGCCCGCGCCGGACCGCCATCACCCGCAGCCGCCGGCGCCGGCTTGAGCTGCTTCAGCAGCGGAGCCACGGCCTCCAGCGCAGCCGCTCGCTTCTCCTCTTCCACCAACTCGGCCTCCAGCGCCGCCATTTTCTTCCGATGTGCCTCACGCTCGGCCTCGACCGCCACCTTGATCTCCGCCACCCGCGAGCCAGCCTCGACCGCCGCCCTCAGCGCCTCGAGTGTCATACCCTCCAGCGACGCGACGCCTTCCACCGCCGCCACCAGCGCCTTCTTCACCGCCTCCTCGTCACCTGCACCCGCCGTCTGCACACCACCACTCCCCGCAGCATTTCCTCCACCTGCACCCGCCTCGGCCTTGCCACCCCGTGTCGCCACCGATCCACTCCTCCGGCGATGGCCATGCGAGCCATGCGGTCCAGCATGTGACCCAGCCCGTGCCCGCGACGCCTTCCCGTCCCTGCCACCGCCACCACCGCCACCACCACCACCAGCTTGGTCCTCTACACCCACGGTCACCTCGTACTCGTCGTAGTAGTACTCGTACTCGCCGTCTGCCATCCTCGCACCCTTTGCCACAAGAGATGCGTCTGCCTGATTGCTATGCCGCCCGCCTGTCGTCCCTGTCCAACCGACTCACGCGACCGACGGAATCACTTGGCGGAGTGGTCTGGCCGACCGAGTCATGGATGGCCTGGCCGACCGAGTGTTCGATGGTCTGGCCGACCGAGTCATGGATGGCCTGGCCGACCGAGTGTTCGATGGTCTGACCGACCGAATCATGGATGGTCTGGCCGACCGATGGCCTGGCCGACCGAGTCATGGATGGCCTGGCCGACCGAATCATGGATGGCCTGGCCGACCGAGTCATGGATGGCCTGACCGACCGAGTCATGGATGGCCTGACCGACCGAGTCATGGATGGCCTGACCGACCGAGTCATGGATGGCCTGGCCGACCGAGTCATGGATGGCCTGACCGACCGAGTCATGGATGGCCTGACCGACCGAGTCATGGATGGCCTGGCCGACCGAGTCATGGATGGCCTGGCCGACCTGGCCGACCGACCGACGCCCGACGGTGCTGGTGCTGGCACTACACTCTACCAACCTGGTGAGGCCAGGAATGGCGAGGGGACCGATGACGAGGTGTACATACAGAGGAAGGAGAGTGGGCCTGGCTGCGGTTGCAACTGCGGTTGCGGCGGTGGTGGTGGTGGTGGTGGTGGGTATGGTGCCAGGCGCGGTGGCCGTCCGGCGACATGTCGCCTTTGCGCCTTTGGCGGTGGGACCTGGCTCATGCACGAGTGATGATGAATGTGATCTGGGATATGTTTGTGATGGCGTCACTTTTTCCTGCATGCAACGCAATTCTGGTCGTTTTCCAGACTTGCCACTCTTGCCGCCCTTTGCTACCGCTGCTCTCGCCGTTCTCATTGCTGTCATCGTCACCGTCTTTGCTGCTACTGTGGTATGGGCTTGCTCTGGCTCCAGACGTCCGGAATCGTTGTGGAATCCGATGGGGATGTGTTCGATCGCTAGCGTGTTGACCATCGCGCTCATTAGTGTGGTCACGATGGTTGTGGCTGCGGTCATCCTGGCATTGGCAAGGAGGAGCGTACCGCTGCCCGACGCGGCTGGATCGGGCGAGATGTGCACGGGCAGGGATGCGCTGGCCTGCGAGCCGTTCTACTGCGATGTCCGTGTTGGACAGTGCTTCACCGAGTGCCGCAGCGATGGGGAGTGTCGATCGGGCGCGCTTTGCAAGAGCGGCGCGTGTGAGACGCAGCCCCCGCCCGAGCTCTATCTCTCGAGCAACTACGTGGCGCTAGTCTCGCTCCTCGTGCCTGTGGCGTTCTGCCTTTGCTGTGGGCTGTGCTTTGTTGGAGTGTGGCCGTCGGCTGGATCGTCGTTTCTGGCGGTACTGGGTTGCGTGGCGGTGCTGACGGTGACCGGCTTTGTGGCCATTCCGATCACGCTCACGCAGGTGAAGCGAGACATTCCACAGGCGCCGATGCCGCCGACCAACGCCAGCGTGTGTGCCGGGAACGGCGTGTGCGCGCCGTTCCGGTGCGACGTCGGCCGGTCTGGGAAGTGCCTTGCGGCGTGCTCGTCCAACTGGCACTGTGTCCCTGGCGCGGTGTGCTCGCAAAGCGGAGTGTGCGTACCAGACGTGCCGTTGCGGGCGACACCGCTATCGATCGGCGGCGGCATCGGAGTGGCACTGGCGGCTGCGGTGGTTGTCTCGGCCGGATGCGCGTGCCTGGCACGAGCGGCACCCGAAATGGACGACCCGGAGGTGTACAGTGCCGAGTGCTGCTGTTGGGCTTTTGTGGCGGTGGCGGTCGGACTGGGCCTCGGACTCTGCCTCTTCTACACCCCATTTGTACCGTCTACGCCTGGGAGTGGGCCGCGGTGTGCGATGCCAAAGGCGCGAGTTTGCACGCCGTACTATTGCGACGTGCGGCAGCAGAGTTGCTTTACGACCTGCGAGCACAACGACCAATGTGTCGACGGGGCCGATTGCATCAAGGGGAGATGTCGGGCACCGGCGTCCACCAGCCAGCCGCAAGTGCAGGCTGTGGCGTGGTGGATGGTAGCGGCGGTGGCGTGCAGCGGCGGAGTTCTCGCCGCGGCATGTACCTGCTGCGCGTACGGACTCTTTGCGGCCGAGGTTTACACCGACAACGTGGGTCGGTTCCGTCGCTCGCACCGGTGGTGGCAGTTTGACGTCAACGGACCGATGGTGGGCATGCTGGTGACGGCGGCCTTTGTGGTTGCAACAGGACTGCTGCTGTTTATTGCGGTACCGAGACGCAACCTGTCCGGTCTGGCACATACTGCTGTGATGAGCAATGTCAGCTGTGCCGTGCCGCACGACGGGAGATGTGCCGGGTACCTGTGCAACGCTGCGGCAGGGCGGTGCTATGCATCATGCGAGCGCGATGTCGAGTGCGGCGCCGGGTACGGGTGCACAACGGATGGGCAATGCGCGCCTGGGATCCGGCGGGAGGTGCTCGAGCCGGGATATGTTGCGGTGGTACTTGTTGCGGCGAGCATAGGAGTGGCGGGCGTGTGCGGGGCTGGCTTTGCCTGGCTCATAGGCATGGTGCCGCACTCGCGGCGCGGAGTGGGCATCTCGGACGACGACTACGATGAGGGCTGCTGCGACCGGATGCCGGTGTTTGTGGCGACAGTGATGATGCTTGTTGTGGCAGTGGTTCTGCCGACGGGGCTATACCTCGGGTACGGGGGCGAGACGAGGGTGCCACAGGTCGACGGAAGCCACGGGGACGGCGGCATGTGCAGTGTGATCGACGACGTGCGCTGCGGCGGCTTTGTGTGTGACACTGGACTCGGTGCATGCTACACAAGGTGCAAGAGCTCGTGGCAGTGCCAGAGCAACGCACGATGCGGACGCAATGGGGTCTGCCACGAGGCCAAGGCAGCGATGGCCTGGTCTGTGATGGGCGGCTTGAGCATGGCGGTGATGGCGGGTGTGGTGGTGTGGCTATTTGTTGTGCCGCTGCTGAAGGCGTGGCAGGCCCGGCGAAGGCGTGCCAGGACTGCACGGAAGCACGCGCGAGAGCAGGCGCTGCTGCAGGCACACCGCGACCATCTGGCGGCGGTGGAAGAGGCCGAGTTGGATCTGTCGATTCCGCGGGAGGACGTGTGGGATCCGACGGCACCGACGCCGCTGGGCGGTGGCAGCGGCGGGCGCGGAGCCTTTGCTTTCCCCGAAAGCGACGACGTGGTTGCACTGGACGAGGTCGGCGAGGGCGAGGTGGCGGCGCACACCGATCCGGTGTGCTCGGTGTGCATGTTTGAGGCGTCGACGGTCCGGCTTGTGGGCCGCGAGTGCCGACATGGGTTCTGTGCGACATGTGCAGCGTACTCGTTACAGGCGATCCTGGACTCAAACCAGTTCCCTGCCCGGTGTCCCGGGTGCCGGGCAGACGGCGTGGAGGAGCGGTCGTACGTTGCGTCTGGGGCGATCGAGTTTCTCGTGCGGCGAATGGTGGTGCCTGTTGAGCTCGGGCGGAGGTTTATCCGGCAGCAGATTCTGCAGGCGTTCTCGCCAGGCGAGGTGGTGACGTGCCCGGCGTGTTCGATGGTGTCGATGCTGCCGGGTGACCGGGCGAGTGCGGAGACGCAGAAGCGGCGAAAGGTGCACAAGAGCGGGCGGGCACTCGCGGTTGAGTGCACCGGATGCGAGACGGCGTTCTGCGTCTCGTGCGAAATGCTCTGGTTTGATCACGACGGGCTGGACTGCGCAGGCGCGGCGGCGCGGCACGAGGCTGGAGCCGACTTTGCGTCTGTGATGGCGACGGAGGAGTACATCCGCGAGAATACCAAGGCGTGTCCACAGTGCGGAACGCGAATCAATCACTCGCGCGGACACGCATGTCACCACATCATGCCTGGCGGTGGATGCCCGGGCCTGCGCGACGACGGGACACGATGCGGATTCCACTTTTGCTACACCTCGCTGCTCCCGTACGGCGAGTGCCACCACGAGTCACACGGCCACCAGCTGTTCTGCGATGATCGGTGCGACTGCCCGATCTGCCCAGTGTGCGAGCCCGGGCGACCGTGCCACCAGTGCTCCGGCCAGGGTAACTGCTGGGCGTGCTTCCCGGAGAACCATCCCGATGCACGGGCGGCGCGGGAGGCAGCGGAAGCAGCTGCACGGGCAGCCGAGGCCGAGGCCCAGGCAGCAGCAGCAGCAGCTGCGGCCGCGGCGGCTGCCGCAGCCGCGCCATCACCACAGACACCACAGACGCCGCAGTTTGTGGTTGTTCCGCGGGCATCACTTTTGCAAGAGATTCGCGAGCGGGCGGCGATGGTTGCACCGTCGGCGATGTATGACGGGGTGGTGGTACCGGAGCCCGGTGATCGAGGCGTGATGCTCGACGGATCTTGCAGCGACAGCGGCGACGACGTAGTGGTGGCCGGGCCGTCGGGCGGCAGCCGGCCGGAGGGCCAGCTGGCTGGCCGGCGTGGGCTGCGGACAAGATTCCAGCTGCAGATGGGCGGGCCGAGCACGCGCGGGCCCGCGAGCGCCAGCGGTGAGCAGCGCGTACTCGAGCTGTACTCACCCATGGCGAGCGGAGACAACAGCGCGCGAGCAATGTCCGCAGTGGCGATGACCGGTTTCCGCGTGGAGGCACGGACGCCAGCGTCTGCTCATGGCGAGCGGCTGGCAGAGTTTGTGGCGGCCACGGGCGAGGGCCGCGAGACTGCGCAGTACTACCTCGCGCTCTTCAACTGGAACGTGGCGGATGCGATTGCCTTTCATGCGGACGAGCAATCAGCGCAGTCTGCTGCTGCACAGTCTGCCGGGGCGAGTATCCGGATGTGGGAGTGACGGCGATCTCTCCTTCCCTGCCTAATTCCTTCTGAGTAGTAAACGGCTTGCTACCCAGATGCGCTTGTGCATGTCGGCGTAGTCGAAACGGGCGATGCAGCAGTGGCAGTGCCAGTCAGGGTGAGTGCCAACAGTACGGGTGTCAACCAGTGCCAGCCAGCGCCAGTAGCATGAGTGCCAGCCAGCGCCAGTAGCATGAGTGCCAGCCAGCGCCAGTAGCATGAGTGCCAGCCAGTGGCCAGTGACAGCCCCCCCCCCCCCCCCCCCACCCCCCCCCCCCCCCCCCCCCATGGCCTACCCCCGCCTCACCCGCTTACGGGTCATAGGTGCCATCCTTCTTGTCATATGGGCCCTCTCCACCGTCCTTGCCTTTGTCTCGGTCCAGCAGCCCATGCCAGGGCCACGGACCTCGTCGCACCCGCTGCCGTCGTCGACTGCCGGCGGGTCGAGGGGTGATGGGGAGGAAGGGGAGGGGATCAGCGACACAATACCGACAACAACGCCGACCAGTACACCGAGCAATTTACCGGAAAACCCACACATTTTATCGCCCGCGCCGCAGCACATCCAGCGTCCCTCCTCGCCGCCTCCGCCTGTAGCGTCATCGCCGCCGTCACCGTCGTCGTCATCGTCGGCGTCACCGTCGGCGTCGCCATTGCCAACCTCGAGTCGACCAGATGACGGGCGAGTGCTGCGTGATGTGCACGTGGGCGGCAAAACGCTCAAGGCGCCGGCGGCAGTGGTGCTCGGCTACAATCGGCCGGCGTTTCTGGAGCGGACGTTGCGATCGCTGGTGAAAGTTGAGGGAGCGGAGCAGATGGACTTGTTCGTCTCGCTCGACGGGAAGGACCCGGCGACGACGGCTGTGGCGAAGGGGAACGAGTTTGCGGCGGCAGGCATCGAGGTGGTTCACCATCCGCGGCTGGCGCTAGCGGCGGCTGGGACTGTCCATCTCGCAGCGCACTACAAGTGGATTCTGGACAAGCTCTTCTTCGAGCGCGGGTATGCGCACGTCATCCTGCTGGAGGACGACATGGAGTTTGCGCCGGATCTCTTTGCCTACTTTGCGGCGACGGCCGAGCTACTTGCCCGCGACGAGACCATCTGGTGCATCTCATCGTGGAACGACAACGGGTTCAAGGAGCTCGCCACCGACCCGAGAGTCCTCTTCCGGTCCTCACACTTTCCGGCCTCGGCTGGATGCTCTCGGCCGATCTGTGGCGCGAGCTCTCGCCCAAGTGGCCGGCCAATCATTGGGACCACTGGATGCGACTGTACTCGACCTCGCGCGGCCGCGAGTGCGTCTGCCCGCTTGTCGCGCGCAACTTCAACTTTGGCGACGTCGGCGCCAACATGGACCGTGCCTCGTACAACAAGTACCTCAAGAACATCGCCTTCCACGACGGCTCGCCCGTCGACCTCGGCCCTCTCGACTACCTCCTCCTCCCCAACTACGCCGCGCTCATCAACGCCTGGGTCGCCGCCGCCGCAGATCCGACCTCCGCCGCGCTGGCCACCGGCAATCTCGTCGTGCCGGCTTGGCTCCCGCCGCCGCTGGATCCCCGTAAGGTGGCAGACGCAAGGCGTGGGCGAGTGTACGGCCTCGTCGGCCCGGGCAGCAACCCGTACTCGGGCTCGACGTTTTCGCGGACAGTGCTTGACAAGCTCAAGTCGGATGCTGTAGCCGTGACCGGGGTGGAGGGCGGCAGTGGGCTAGCGCTGACATCGTTTGATCCGCGGGCGGCAGCCAGCGACAAGCTCCCGCTCGTGCACGTCATTGTTTCGACCCGCGAGGCCTTCCCGTCCCTCTCGGCTGTGTTTGGTATCTGGCACGAGGCGCGGGCGCAGCATCGGCGGGCGTGGCTCCTCTTTGCGCACGGCTACCTGTTCATCATTGTGGATGCGCGGCGATCGCCGTACGTGCCCGAGGCACACGCGCTCCATCCGCCTCCGGGCATGGTGGTTGTCGCCGGCGGCCGCGGCGAGTCGTGCACCACAGTGTGCGCGACAGCGGCGGCGGCGATGGAGGCCAACGCCACCCGCTGCGATGGCCTCGCCTTTGACTTTATCAACCAGATCCCCGCGCTCGACGCAGCCTTCCCGTGCGCCGACTTTGGCATGGAGATCGGTGACGAGATCCCGTGCATGGTGTCGGACCGTGCCCACGAGAGCTACGGCCGGTGTCTCATCACGCCCAAGCTCCCGCTCTGTACAGCCTTTCATCCATCGACCTCACGGCTCTGTCCGTGCATCTAGTTCACTCGACCAGATGGGCGACGACGCCGTCCGGCCGGACTCGTGCGGAGCGGCCGCGCCACGCCAGCACCTTGTCGCCCAGCTCACCCGCGCGATGAGTTGGTTGCTGCGGGAAGCGGCGGCCGGGCGCAAGTTCATCCGGATGCCACGGCGGGAGCTTGCTGTGGTCGCCGCTCGCCGACGGATAGGTAAAGCCGAGGTCGAGGTGCGGAAAGAGGAGCGGGATGGAGCTGCCCGACTCGACGAGGTTCCTGACGGCGGCGGCGCGCGAGGGCGAGATGGAGCTAAGCGCAGCGTACTTGGCGGCACGGACGCTCGAGTCGAAGATGACATTCTTGAGCAGGCCTGGGAGCGGGAGGGCAGTCGCGGCCGACTGAGCCATGCTCGCCGCGCCAGGGCTGAGTCCGACGGCGCTCGTCACCGCCAGCACTCGCTCGTAGTTGGCCATCGACTGGTTGGCGGCAGCCTGGGCGGCACTCCGGCGCTCGGCGGTGTAGCTTGCCAGCGACGGCGCCAACTGAGTGCAGTCAGCTTCTGCCGATGCCCAGCGTGCGAGGCGCCAAGCGAGGTTGCTGGCATCGGCGATGCCAGTGTTGAGGCCAAAGCCACCGGCAGGTGGAAACTGATGGGCGGCGTCGCCGGCAAGGGCGAGGCCGGGCATCGGGGCGTAGTTGCCGGCGACGCCGACCCGCATGCTCCACGGGGCAGCCGAACGCACATCGATGTGGGCGCGGGTGAGGCGGCCGGAGGCGCGGGCGGCCGGAAAGGCAGCAAGGACAGCATCGGTGACGGCGCGAGTGGTGGAGAGTGCGGAAAGGTCCTGCCACTCGGGAAAGAACGGGATCTGGGCGACCCACTCGCCGCGGGCGAGCGAGTGGGCGACGAGGACGCCGACAAACTCGGGATTGTACACAAAGTACAGCATGGCTGGGTGTGCCAGCTCAACAGCGTGCGGCGGGATGAAGAAGTGCACGTTGATCAGCGACTGGAGTGCCTTGCCGGCTGGAAACCGCGGATCCGGTGAGACAAGGACCGAGCCAGCCTCGTCGGCGAGCGTCGAGTGGGCGCCGTCTGCAGCGACAACGACGACGTCATCGCCGAGCGCCGACGCACCAACGCTCTGTACAGCATCATCAATAGAGGCGACTTCTGACCCTAGCCGGAGATCGACGAACTTTGCCACGTCGGGCGAGCGCAGCCGCTCCAGCAGCATCGGCATCAGCGCCGACGACGGAAAATGGACTGGATGGGCGATTTGGAGCGATCCCGACGAGAGAAACGAGGCATCGGGGCCGACCAGAGTGTCATGAATACCATGGTGAGAGTGATCGCAAGAGTCAAGAGTTGGCGCGGTGGCCTCGAGGTGGTCGGTGGGCGGAGCGATGGGCGAGAGCGGGTAGACGGACGAAGCGATGTGATCGTAGCGAGCGATGGGATCGAGATCATCAACACCACGAGCATACACAAAGTCCTTCCAACACGCAACCGGCTCAATGGCACGATATACGGCATCAGCTATGCCGAGCGAAGAGAATATTTCCAAAGTGCGCGAAGATAGAAAATGAGCCTGCGGATGAGCCGAGAGCTCTGCCTCACTCCGTCGCTCCGTCACAGTCACTCGCACGCCATACGAGCCGAGGAGGTTGGCCAGGACCAGTCCCACAGGTCCTCCCCCCACAATATGCACTCTCCGTCCGAGCATCACCCCAAACCCCACGCTCGACCTTCTTCTCTCCGCTTTGAGTCGCGTAGCCATCCGTCCTACGCAGACGCCGGCCGCCTTTGGCTGACGCGTTGGTCCCGCCGGACGAGGCCGATCGACTACGGGATGTGGATGATGCCAGCCCAGCGGATTGGATGCTGAGCTTGGTAAAGTGGGTGGGGAAGGGGAGGGACGGGGGGGGGGGAGGTCATCATTCATGCTCGGGGGTCGTTGGATGGGGTGTGGATGGGGGGAGGGGGTGATCAGCTTGTGTAGCCTTGCGCGGGGCGGTGTAGGGCTATCGGCCGGGCACGTCTCCGGCAGATGTAGGCGATGGAAGGTCAGGTGCGATGTTGGTGGCTTCAGCTGTGGATATGTATCCCGTTTGGGGACAGGGATAGCGCTGCAGATGGATGCGGTGCTTCGAGATGAAGAGCCGTTCACGTAGGTGCACATCGATTATTGATGTAGACCAGAGTGTCCACGACACGGATCGGAGTCCACGCTGTGCTGCTGCTAGACGGAAAATGCGATTGCGATGACACAGCGATCTGTGATCAAATGCACTAGGTGGGTTACAGCCGCGCCCCAGACCTATCCACAAATAGTTCTCCTCCCCCTCTTCAAGCTACAGCATCCAACACTGTTTCCCGACACTTCTTTCCACGACCAACGTTGTCATTCCCCTATATCCACCATCAGCGACGTGGACCATCAGCTATGCCCGCCCGTATCCAAAAGCGACAAAAAAACCGTAGGCGCAAAGGTGCGGAACGATTTTCGTGACGCTTCCTTCTTTGACGAGCGAAATGGCCGACAGCGACGAGTTCGGTGACGGCCACACGACGTCTCTCTCTCTCACGGGCGGCGTTGACGAGCAGCGAGGCGTGGGCAAAGTGGCGAGGCAGAGGAGGAGAGGGAGAGTCATGTTGGCTTCGCCTGTTTCAGGGATGATGCGGTTGTCTGTCCGTTCACACGAGCTCATCCAGACGCTGACTCTGCTAACGGTGGTGTATCTGGGTAAGGAGGCGGTCACGGTGACGGTCACGTGCGGTGAGGGAAGGGGGGAAGGGGAGGGGGGACTCACGGGGATGGGGGTGATGGGTGGTGGTGGGGGGATGGGGATGGGGATGGGGGTGGTGGTGGTGATGGTTGGTGGTGGTGATGGTGGGGGTGATGGGGTGATGATGATGATGATGATGATGATGATGATGATGATGATGATGATGATGATGATGATGATGATGATGATGATGATGATGATGATGATGATGATGATGATGATGGTGATGATGATGATGATGATAATGATGACCACCATGATGATGATTATGACCATGAACCACGACCATGATGGCAACTACGACCACGACCATGATGGCAACCACGACCACGACCATGATGGCAACCACGACCACGACCATGATGGCAACCACGACCACGACCATGATGGCAACTACGACCACGACCATGATGATGACCACGACCACGACGGACGTACTGATCGGACGCCTAAATCCACAGGCATCCACGCCGGCTTTGTCATCGGCTACCACGAATCGACCTCGGCAACGGTCTCGTCGCTGCTTTCCATCGCCGGCATCCTCGCTATTGCGATGTGCGCCCTTGTCTACGCGCGCTCTTCCATCCGCCGCGCAACCGAGCCACGCCTCAAGATCGTGCTCTTTATCGGCGTCATCGGCATGATTTACGTCGCACTCTCGCTCTTCTTCCTTGTCCGCACCTGGTTCGCGAGCTGCGACTCCAAGTCCGGCACGACCAAGGATGCCTCGGACGCCGACGCCAACGAGAGCAACAACAGTAGCCACAGCAGCAGCTCGCATCAGACCCTCGAGCCCTTTGCCTGTGATCCCATGTTCACTTGGTCCTCGGTCACCCTGCTCTCAGTTCTGTTTGTCGCAGGCTGCGTCACCCTCGCCGTCGTCCACCGCCTCCGCGTCGCCCTCGTCACCTACCACGTCGCCTTCTTTGTGGCCCCACCTAGTCTCCTCGACGCGCACGGCCGGCCCAACTCCCCGCCGAACGCGGCCCCGCCTTGCGTCTACGCTTCAGGCTCAGACGACGGATCGGCCTCGAGCTGCGAGTCGGCCTCGGCCAAGCGCTCGTCGGCCTCGGACGCCGGCGATGATCTCTGCGTCATCTGCTTTGACGCCCCGCGCTCGGCCATCCTCGTCCCCTGCGGGCATGCTGGTGTGTGCCCGGCATGCTCGCAGCGAATGGCGCTGGTATCTTCGGCTCGGTGTCCGCTCTGCCGCTCACCCGTCGACGCGGTTGTCGGCATTGTCGCCGCCACCGCGCCCGCTCCGTCCTCGCGCACCTCATACGGCACTGTGCCGACGAGGGCAGGAGGCGAGGACGACAGTCGCACGAGCGCGGACGCGCCCACCTCCCGCCGACCGGCTGGCCGTCCGATCGCCATCTCGGCCCTGCTCGCCCGACGCTGCACTCTTTGCTCCGCCTCGCACCGGGCTGCGCTCTCGCTGCCGTGCGGCCACGTGACGACGTGCCACGGCTGCGCCGCCACGCAGGAGACCTGCACCCGGTGCGGAGCGCAAGTCGAGCGCACGCTCGGCGTTTATGATGTGTGAGGCATCGCACTACGAGATGACACAGCAGCAGCCGCGTGAGCGCGAGTTCTGCGGCGGCGGGTGGGCCGCGTTTCGCGCCGCCGCCACCGCGACAGTCGTTGCGTCAGCCGGGTGGACAGCCGCCGCCGACGAGTGGCGGGTGAGCTGCGACGAGTCGGTCGTCGAGACAACCGGTTCGGTGTTCCACGGCGTCGACCGCGAGTCTGCACCTTGGATGCTGACGAGGTGAAGTGGACGCCTGACTCTGTGGTGGGCAGCGCGTGGTTGGAGAGCGTCATGGATATATCCATGACGATGGACGACTCGGGCGCCCGCGACATCGACTCATCCGACGACATACCGAGCGACTTGGGCGACGATTCACGTGGCACCCGAATGACTGCTGGCGGGCGAGTGTCGGCAGGGAGGAGCGAGCCCGAGACAGAGACCCTGCGGCCCATGCGGTTCTCTACTAGGACGGCGGCAGCCTCGGTCGAGAGCTCGCCCGAGCCTCCGGCCCGCGACGGCGACGACCACGGGTTGGTCGGCACCACGCCGGCGAGCACCAGCGCCGCCATAAACTTGGACTGATCGCGGCGGCCAATGCTGCGGCGCTGTGACGACTTGGTCCCGTCGACGGCGTTGAGGAGAAGACCGGCATTGAACCAGCACTGCAGCCGGCGGACGTGCTCGCGCAGCTTGGCAACGTGCGTCGGCGGCGCCATTCGCCCGGCAAATAAATGAAGGCTGTTGGAGGTATCGTGGATGAGCAGGCACTGAGCCGAGGTCTCGACGTCAAGCGAGAAGAGAGAGGCATGCTTGGCAACGTCCAGCTCGCGTGCGACAGGAAGCGAAGCCGACGCACCCGGGCACAGCTCCTGGATGGCATACACCCGGGTCCGCCGCTCGCTGACTATCTGTGCCGTCCGCGGCGCAGAGTATCCGGTTAGCTCGTCCGGTCCGGCCGCCGCCGACGAGTCGGAGCGCTCCGACGAGGAGCCCACCGTCCCAGACTTGAACGAGCGGGTCGCCGACATGGCAATTGGTAGCCGCAGGTCGGCCTGGGTGTCGTTTGGCGAGTCCGAAGTCATGTCGGTCAGTTGCGCCACAGCGTAGTCGCCGGTGGACGAGGTCGTCACTGTCGAGTGCTCGCGCCGAAGCCGTGCCGAGTTGGGCGAGCTCTCGCTCATCGACGCCGCCAGGATCGACCGGGCGTGCGCCACATCGAGCGAATGACCAAACGCCGCCAGCCGCGCCTCGTGCCAGGCCCGGGCCTGGCTCTGAAAGTGCGGCGAGACGGCCGACGCCGCCCCGGACCCACCGATCAGCGCCCCTCGCTTGAGCATGACCAGGGCCAGGGCGTCGTGATACGAGATGTTGAGCAAGGTAGCGACCCACCAGACGGCGAGCGCAAGCGCCTGCGTCTCCCCAGACGAGGCATAGACGGCAACCTTGCCGCCGTGCGAGGCGACCGACGCCACAAACTCCATAAAGTCAATCGCCACCAGAGCGAGGTCTGTCGACACCTCGTCGACGAGCGGGAGCTGCAAGAGCGTCGGCGTGTCGACACCGTCGCGTGGCGTGTTGAGCAGGTCCGGGCCGGGCTGGGTCGACGCGGCACGCGAGGCGCGGACAACGCCACGCACCCCGTGGGCATCGCGCCATTCGGCCGAGAGCGCCTGCTCCGTCGACGTCACATGCAGGTGGGCGAGGATGCTGGTCGGCTCCGAACCCATGACGAGGTCGAGCATCGAGGCAACAGCCGCTTTCGGCCGGTCTGAGCGGAACCGCTGGACGAGGAGGAACTGGACCGCGAGGCGGAGCTCCGACGTTGGCGGCGGCATGCGGAGAGGGACCGGGAGGACCGTCTGATGACTGGCCTCAAGATGGTCGGAGGTCAGCGCCCGCCGCACAACCGCTTTGGTCTTCACCGTCGCGTTCGGGGCCGGGACGGCGAGCGAGACGTTGGCCAGCCGTCCGGGGTTCCACGCCAGCGGCGCCGAAAACGGCGCATGGACCGAGGATAGCGACGAGGTGGCGATCGAGGCCTTGCGCGGCTTGCTCAGCATATGAACGTCGATGACATGGGCCTCCGGCAGCGCCGCGAGTGCCTTAGCATCCGTCGACGAGTACATGCCAGGGCTTGGCGTTGGCGAGGTGCGACCCGAGCCCGACTCACTCGACGCACAGGAGCTCCCCGAGTTGGTTACGGCCCCGTCTGCTCGGCGCGACGGCGAGAGCAGCCACGCGGCGGTGCTGACCACTGGGTTGGCGGCGAGGTTATCGGTCGAAGCGGCCGAGGTTCCGGCCGAGACGGCAAACGAGTGCGACGACGAGTTGGACTCGTGGAGGTCGCTGCTCGTGTTAGCGCCCGCCGAGGCGACCGAGCCACCCGAGGCGAGGGTGAGAAGGTGCGACTCGCGGGTCGACGGCTCGTCAAACTTGGCCCATGGAGTCTGCGGCTTGACGCCCGAGTCGACAAGGAGGTTGGCAAAGATGTGTGGGGCATTGGCTGGTACCTTGACGCGGTCCCCGGCGCCCTCGTAGAGCTGCAGACGGAGGACGGCCTTGCGGATGGCGGCGCGGTAGTCGGACGGCGTCTCGTGGCCGCAGTAGGTGTAGAGCTTGTTGTCGGCTCCGTGGAGGATAAATGCCGACGAGGCATTGACGGCAAAAAGGCGCGGGTCGGTGTGCGGGACGATGCGGGCGACGAGGAACGGCGAGGCACCGGGCTTGGTCGACTGTGGCTCGATGGCGTAGACAAGGACCTGTGTGTTGCGCGGGCCGGCATCGGCGAGCGCCTTCTTTGGCCGGTGGCATCGTTCGTACCAGTCCTGCAGAACAAAGGTGAAGCCGACGTTGGGCCTTGCGATGGGCCGCTTGGTCTGGACCCATGCAAGAGCTTTGGCATAGTCCCAGTCGTTGAGGAGCATAACCCAGGCGACAGAGAGGGCGACTGAGCGCGAGATGCCCAGCCGGCAGTGGATAAAGACTGCGCCGCCGGCCCGCCGCACCGAGTCAATGATCTCCATGATTTCGTAGAGGACAGCGAGAATGTCGGCGTGAAGGATGTCTGCGAGGACTACGTTCGTGTAGGTAAACGTCTCTGGGAAAACGACGGGACAACCATGAGCCGCGACACGGCTTCAAGCTTGGCTTTGGTCTCTTGCGAGGCAAAGTTCGGCGCCGAGACGGCCATTGGCGTAGTGACCGGTGACACGTCGGGCACGTCGCCAGGTGGCGGCGCGGTTTCGGGCGGCGGAGCGTACGCGCAATTGATGACGTGCGTGATGCCGGCGTGGACCAAGGCCTGCTTGTTTGACGCCGATGAGAGGCCACCAATGTAGAGATACGGGAAGAGCTGGGTCAGGTTCGACGCCGCCGTCTCAATTGACTTGCGCGCTTGCGCTGTGGCGGTCATCGACGACCGCGTTTTGCCCACTGCCGAGAGGTCTAGTCCCAGCGCGGGCGGAAGCTTGGTCATTCGCGGAGGTTTGCGGGCCGAGACCGGGAGCTCCATCAGCGATTTGGAGGTGTAGTGGCCCAGCCGCGGGGTCTGCCGTCGATTTGTACCTGGCGAGCGTGAGCGTGAGCGCGAGTCCGAGGTCGGCGGTGGCGACGACGATGACGACGAGGTCCGCGACCGGAGCCCGCTGCCAGTCCGCGACGTCCGCAACTGCGAGGCGCCCGAATACCCGAGCGAGCTCTCCGAGTCGGACGCCGAGCCCGAGTAGGTGCGTGAAGAACGCGACGGCTGCGCCGATGACAGCATCGACGTCGACGAGTCGGGGGTATCGCTCGAGCGCCGAGTCGACGCGCGTGACGAAACCGACCCTCCAGAGCTTGACCCGACTCGAGCCCGAGGCGTCTTTGGGCTTGGCAACGAGAGGGTACCCAGCGGAATGTCTGAAGCTGTGGCACGGACCGACGGTTGCGATGGGACTGACTGCTTCGCAGACTGGAGTGACGAGAGCGGCGACGAGGTTGAGAGCGGAGTCGAGCTGGACGACGAGTCCAAACCCGAGCCCGACTCTTCCTCTTCTTGCTCTTCGGGCGTGCCCACAACCGCGACTGCCAGCGGTGCTTCGTGGGCGAGTGCCCAGTCATTGGCAGCTGCTGTCTGAGCGCGCGTCGGCAGCAGTAAGCTCTGCCCGCGGGCAAGTTCAACCACAAGTGGAGGATCAACTGCGAGCAGCGGTCTGTCGTAATGCAGCGGAGCTGTAGCCTGCGGCCATGCCTCTCGCCGCAATGAGCATGACGCCAGGTGGCGAGAGGACGGGATCATCTTGCGCGTGTTTGGGCGAGTAGCAGGCGACGCGAGGCTTGATCACAGCGAAGGAGAGTAGAGCGAGCGAGAACGTGAGTGTAGGATGTGCAGCTCGGCGAGGCTTGGCAGCTCGAGTCTGAGTCAGTTGCCAACACAAGGGGGGGGGGGGGGAGCACTTGTGCCAAACAAGACCACCAACGTCAGATCTTTCAAAGGTGAAGAGTACCACCGAATACCGCCGAATACCACCGAATACCGCCGAATACCACCGAATACCACCTAATGCAGCCAACAAAGGTACAACTCCACGTAGCAGCCAGGGATCTCCTGTGCCTGCCTTCGTGCGTGTCCGTGACCGTGTCCGTGTCCGTGTGGGTACACCTCGCGGGCGTTGATGTTCGTTATCTATCACGCCTTGACAACCTTCTTCAAGTCGTCGATCTCCAGATGCGGGTCCGTCCGTCCGTCCGTCCGTCTCCGTGTGTGTGTGTGTGTGTGTGTGTGTGTGTGTGTGTGTGTGTGTGTGTGTGTGTGTGTGTGTGTGTGTGTGTGTGAGTCCGTGTGGGTACCGAAGTTCTCACCTGAGCAACAGCGGTGGCTTGCTTGACAAATCTCCCCCACACGTGTATGTCTTTGTGTGTGTGTGTGTGTGTGTGTGTGTGTGTGTGTGTGTGTGTGTGTGTGTGTGTGTGTGTGTGTGTGTGTGTGTGTGTGTGTGTGTGTGTGTGTGTGTGTGTGTGTGTGTGT